TCTTCGTTGTGTTTTATATTGACTGTGGCGTTAGGCACTGGCTGTCAGCGACATAGGAATAGCTATTGGATGTGGAAGTAAGCTCTCATGTTCATCCAACCACTAATATAGCGCATACTAATCATGTTCGATGACAGGCGACATCGCATTATCTAGCGCTTCATTCATCCTCTTATCCTCTAACCTCAAAACTTTACTCACACTAAGTGATTTGTCGAGAAAAGTGTTTAACCGCGTCAAGATTAACTTTGTACGTTTCGTCCTTCTCTTGTGCTACCTCTCGCCATTAACATATCTTGTAGATGTGGGCATTTATGTATAATTTGATCGCAGTTCCCATCGCTGCTGGCGTCATATACCCAGTCGGACACGCGCGTTTAGCTCCCGTATGGGCGTCATTGGCCATGGCATTATCGTATGTACCTCCTGACTAGGTATGACGTATACTGATATGTTATCCTAGCTCAGTATCTGTGATTTGCTCCTCCCTCGCACTCAAGTTGTACAGAGAGCCAAAGATACAGCTTTAACAAGTCCATCTTATTCAATATTTCCTGGGCAATCTGTACTATCTATGTCCCCTCACTACTACCTAGTGTATTTTCTAGTTTACTCTATACTAACAATCGACTTGCTCTGTGTTGCAAGAACCGACATGATGACATGCTGGCCTGCTACAGACACTCTGAGGCATAAATAGAGACCTCTTCGTCAGTCCTGGCGCTCCTGGCGCCTAGTAATTTTTTGGTTTGTCTCCTAGCTGAGTTCAGTGTTACAATCACAGGCAAGAGAAGAAGATGATATCGTCATAGTATATCGGCATATCCTACAATATTTAAGCACGAGATACCGCCGGCGTCGGGTGTTATTTCGTCCACCACACGTCATGCTGCAGTGCTGTATTGACCTCGTCTCCTATTTACGGCTCTTTCTTCACCTATCACGCATTCCTTTCTCCACTCAATGTCTACATCGATGAATTCAAACACAGAGTCCCGGACAAATTGCCAGGCGATTTTCGTAAGTTTCGCGAACGGACATAGATCACACAGTAGACTCACAAGACAACACAGAATCTTACTTTAGTTCAGATAGCCTGAAAGAAGCTGAGCGTGCTCCATTGAACACAACAGAACAGACCCCCGACTACTTCACCATGTTGACTCATCCCGGAGTGCCGCCTCATCGCCTGGATCTCAAACAGAACCGCGTTTGCGCCATTCGGCGAAACCTCTCGGTCACTGAGAAAAGGGATTAGTGAGAAACGCGCGCGCGCGCGTGATTGCGCTGCATCGTCGATTCGCCGAAGTGCAACTCGTCAATACATTCGAAAGCCACTGCATCCCCCGCATCAACTTTACGTTCCATCCGAACCATTCATCATTGTGGACAGTGAAATGAAGACAGTATGCAACCACATTTATCGGTTGTCAAGGATTGATGCTAGCACAAACCGTGCTCGACCTTCGAACGGATCCCATTGCTCATGGCCAATTGTACACAGTGTTGTCGAGGGTGAGAACACGAAGAGACACAATGTGTTTATTTGCAGAGGCGAACGAGGAACAAGACTGTGCTAATGTTGTATTTCCTGAGTTGCTCCTGTAAATACAGTATATCGTCGTACAGTCGGCCAAAGGGGAGTCCTTGTTCTACATATGTAAGGACGGAGCGATTTCGTATTTCGTGTAGGCTGCTGATTATCGGCGGATGCCTTCCAGCCTAGTCTACTCTTCTCTAAATTGCTCACCTAATAAACTAGCTAGACTATACTAACATTCTCTGGTTATGTAGTGTGCGAACGGGTTCACTGAAATTAACCCCTATATTAGGGTTTTTGCGTTGCAACTGTCAAACCGCCAGTGTATAACTAGTCTGGCTCGAACGAAATAAACCAGGTGTGCCACAGTTCTTCTTGTGTACCGTTTTCTATATTCACTTGCGCAGAATGATGTCTCAGATCCTGGCCATTAGCAGATATCATATATCTCTGTAGAGCGTTCGTGCTCTCAGCAAATCCTCAGCATTCGCGATAGCCAGTCCAAAGATACAAGCAGATGCAAACCGACGAACGACTGGCTTGTCGATAATGGCAAATCTCGTTAGATGCCATACTTGGTCAGGCGTCCCCGGTAGCTACAGCGTGTCTTGTTCACCCGGCCCAATCCTGTGATTCACATGAAAATATGCAATAGCCGCTGCTCGGGAGAGATTTGGATATCCGGTTGAAGAGGTGGCTAGAAGGCAACAATTCTTTCACCGTGGAATGGGTGACTCCGGAGGATAGATATGGCGCCACTGCTATGGCAAACCCGGAAGCCAAATTTGCCCAATGACGCGACGGCTGGGATCGTGGCGTCTCCGGGGTGGGAGGGGGATGCTAGCAAGAGTCTAAATAGGCCATCTTGCTACCCTTGGCTGGGGCATCCTCCGTTGCCCGAGTAGTAACCCAACCTCGTGACCTAAGCTGTCTACATTCCCATCGTCGTCGTCACCTTTTTGGCCTGTTACCTAAAAGATCAGATTTGAATAGTGTGTCATCATTCTTTAACATTGTTATACTGCCTCACTTTTGTAGATTCTGGATTTGCTCTCATGATTATGGCTCGGGTGAATGGTGTAGCACGATGATTTAGGATAGACGTCAGGTATAAATTCTGAACTTCTAGCTGTCGCGCAAAGTCTATGATCCTATGGACGAAAGTCTGCGTCGAAAATAGCATAGACGGTGCCCGTCAACGATGATAAAACGTTCTGTTAGCTATTAGTATGACATGTTCAAAGTATCAATTACATCATACCTAAATTCGTTGATATATGATCATCGTTTTCGTCGACCGTCCCAAGTCAAGCTGCGCAGGCATAGTGCTATCGCCTCATTGCACCTTTGACCACAAATGGAAAAATCACTGCTTCTTGGAGTCCACGTAGGATTAGATCCTGCCTTTGAATTGGTGGCTTGGTCTACACGACCCTGGAAGGTGGACGACGAAGCTACACCGCAAATAGCTGTAATGGATGTGCCAAGACGTGAAGGTCCCCAGCGAAACTCTGTTGCGGAAGTCTGAACCCTGTTCCCTGTTCGTCTCCTCCTCTGAGCACCAATCGGAAAGCCTGGTCATTGGGCTGCGGTGGCTATTTTTCCCACATGGAAACCTGGTATGCACCATGACATCAAGCATGGGGCTAATGCCACACTTCACGGCTAATCCATAGTTTCAGTTCCGTAGTAAAATTCAGGTGATAATTCCTTTGCCATGTTTGCTTAAATGGCACTCATTTGAACCTTCGATGGACTAACCGGCATGTTCAATCGCACTCGCGCTTCTGTGGTTTTTACCATCTTGCTTCTCGTTTCACGAGCCAGTGTTAAGGCAACAACCAATTCGACTGGCAATTGCGGGCAAGGCACAGCTCGCTGTTGCGAGAAGGTGAGAAACATCAATGAACGGCGAAAACATTTGTGCTTACATGTGTTGTAAAAGGATTCATCCGCCGCTGGCAATGTCAACGATGAGCAGTGTCAAAGCTACTCAGAGCCTTGTGCCACGAGTGGCTACGTAGCAGCTTGCTGCTATACCATCTCCGCCTTGGTAAGTGGCATGATTTGATTCGACAGCGCCGTCGATCTGACTGAGCAACAGGACTATTACTACTGCAATCAGACTGGGTCAGGTTGACGGCGGGGTTGCTATGATTTTGTAAAGCACGTCACCTTTGAAGTTAAAGGACATCCGTTGCCCTGAATTTTAAACAGAATGTACCGGAATGATATATAATTACACACTAATGTAGAATGTGTCTTGACTCCCTCACCTTCATGCAGTGCGAAGTGCATATCAGGACGCTCAAGCAGCACTAGGCACAACTCACAAAAAGCCTCGACGTATATGTCATGGGAACTACCTCTGTGATACTTTGGAATGAAATTGTGTCTTGTGCGGTCGGAAGTTCTAGTACGATATCGCCTGATAAAGAGGGATGAACTCTCGGCACATTCCATCGACAAGTACTTACACAATGAGCGTCCCCAAAAGTAGCAGACAACACGATGGCACAATTGAAACGCGTTACGCAAAGCCAAATGTCCCTGCAAAGAGTCGGACATGACATCAGTTCGTCGGCGGCCGCTGTGATGAAATCGAGCTGCACTCTGAAAAAAGTTACAGCGATACCGATTGTCCTAATAACGTACACCAAACACCAAAATGCAAGAAGACCACAATTGAATAGGGAAGGACACACGAGGAGTCTATCGTGCCCGTTACTCGTCCGAAAATTTTCGGTTCCCTGGAGTTGCGAGGAGCATTACTTGATCACTGTTCAAATTGAGTAGGCGCTTGGATAAGTTAGAATTTGGACTACACGAAAGGGAGATGAGTTTCTGTCGAACGAGAGCGTTCAACTGACTCGGAACGTACGACCATTCAGAGGAGTGAACAGCAGGCGCAGGGTCGGGAAGCAAGACATTGACAAATGGCGTTAGCGAAAGAATCAGTGTTGGGACACGCAGGAGTGATGAATATGGGCTCCTCGGCTCTCCTCAGGCTTTTACTGGATAGGCTTGGAGCAATGCTCGTATTGAAGTGACGCAACTTCTGGGAACCGAGAATTTTCGGACAAGTAACAGGAAACTACCGAAGTGATATCACTCATGTGCCTTGAAATGACGCAACACTCATTCCAGGAACCGAAATTTTTCGGATGAGTCACAGGGGATCCCTGATAATGCGCACGGAACCCAGTCAGCGATGCGGACAGAAGTTGACCTAGAAGCGAGTCGAGGATAGTACATCACATACCTAAAAACTAATTTTAACAGAAGACAATCTCACTCCAACTCCGAGCATTTGGACTTGAAGCGGCTGCTAAAGACAGGGCTAGTAGAAAGGGGCCACCCTTTCTTTGCCCCGCGTGATGATCTGCCGTATCTCACCAGCACCTCGTGATTACTGCAGAAGAACAAAAAAAAACCAGATGGGACCCGACAGCAAACATGATGCCCTGAGGAAAGTTCGAACTTGCGACCTCAGGATTGCCTGGTAACTGGACCGGTCATACATATAGTATGAGACCTGCGCTCTAACCAACTGAGCCATCAAGGCTTCTGTGGAGTTGTGCGTGATAACACAACTGAGGTTGGGACTGAAAATATTCTCTAGCACGTGACAAAAACGCGCTGAGCGCGTGACGTCACATACATGAGTGTCACCTCGTATCGTATAATATAAGAAAGGATCTTGTCACATTGAAATATATGATCATGTAAATCAGCATAATCGCCAGCAAGAACTCACAGATTCGCTTATTTGAAGGACACGGGCGCTGAGGACCCATGATAAGAATCAGAAAACACGCGTTTTTTAAGATTATTGGGGACCTAGGTTAGAGTCTGGACAAAACATTACTCTCAGGACGGCATCCGAACAAGTTGGGGACTCCACTGACCTGGGTTCCATAGGGATTATTATGGGTCCTGGGCGATGATGTTCACGATATGTGCGGCAGCAGTCCCCGGACCTTCGTTTTGCAAAATACTGACATCACCGACAATTTATGACTGATCAGAAGCGTCGTCGGATTTGGACTATTCGAGAGTATACTTCGATCTCTCGGTCACTCTCAGCACAGCCAACGCTCTCGGAGATGTCATGAAAGTCAGGCGACATTTATGACATCTGAGAGTGTCTCCGTGCAAAGTTGTCAATAAGACCAAATCGTCTCCCACTGGTAGCATCGTCAGTGCATGAACCGGTCACCATCCCTTTTGCGATGATCATAATCCGTGAGCATGTCCGCGCAGCTCGTACACAAAATGTGCAAAAGACATCGTCTCCGATCCAGGCCATTCGCAGTAGATATGAAATTAAAGTGCGAATATTGGATAGAGTTGAGGAGCGAGCGAATCTGAAGCGAAGATCTTGCCACTGGCCGCTGGCAATTGGAAGTTGGCCCTTGGGCGATAGCGTTGACTTGAGCAAGAACTGGATATCGAGGAATTTTTCGATGGGTCCCAGATGGGCTTTGATCATTCCGAAGAAGGGCCTCTCTGACTCAGCAGGTATGTCAGTATGTGGTACCTGGCGTCTGCCGAGAGGCCGAGATCATTGCAACATTTAAAAAGCAAGGCATCATCATCATCACCACTATATGTACGGCCGTTGTTCGCAGTTCGTATGCAAAGAAATACATAATTGTATGATGGACTACAGGTAAAAAGATGCCAATATATGTGATGAAAGATGCAGAGGCAAAAAAAATCAGTAGATATGAAATGAGTCCGTCTCGAGAGCAAGCACCGACTACACATAGAATCTAAAAGTCAAGAAGGTCAGAACGTAGAAATATGTAAGGTGAAGGGTACTCACTTCTTATTGATCTGGTAGAGCAACAAACTAATGTTGACTTTTGCCAGTCCATTGAATAACGAAAGGGAAGCTTGGTTCTCGAACTGAGCTTGCAACAAGTCTTCCATACGTAGATCGGTAGAAGCTACCCGATTGGTGATCCCCAATGTGTTATTGAACACTTCCATAGTGAATATGCCAGGTTTGTTGGAAGAAATGGTGATGTCGATTTTATCAAATTGACGCGGAGAGAATTGATCGATGGAGAGTAATATGCCCTTCTCGTACAAATCCTTCGCACTGTATTTGAAAGATCCAAACTGAGGATTTTTCCCCGACTTCTGCAAGTCGCGCAGATGAAAGTACTGCTTTGTGAACGGCAGAACAAAACGTTTCTTCCTATCCAAGAGTTTAGTGCAATGTAGGGCACAAACACAATTGATCTTTACCCTTTGCCTCGCTGCATGGTTGCCATCGCAGCTTCAACGTAGTTATGATAGCTGTCAATCTGCTCCTCAAAATACTTCTTCCGTTCGGAAAGGTGCTTCAGGGCGTCTACCATACTATCCATCTCCTGTTGACGTTGTAACCGCTTGCGGTGCTTGCTGCGGACATCGCTGGCAATGGCATTCAGAATGCCCTGGAATCCGTCGTTACGCGTAATCTTCCCTTGCTTCTCGAGTTCAAGAAGGAAGAAAATGGCATGAGCTTTGACTTCTTTGAAGGACAACCTTTATAGAATTTTAGTTAAGTCGTGTCTTCCATACTTCTCGTTGTAGCTCACAATCGAATATCCTCTAACCTATATGCGGACTCGCCCGCGGAAGTTGAAGGCATACGTCGTGGTATTGGTTCGTTATCCATTTCGGCCAAGATGTTCTCCCAGCGGAGCTCGTCGTCGTCGCTCACGGGCCGCATCAAAGATTCGACAAGATCTTGCGCAGGTTGGACGCGTAAGATTGCAAGCACACCACGCTTTGCTTGTACCCAGAGTGCTTTCTCGTCAGCTTGTGGATCTGCATTCCCGTCAACAAGCGTCGTCGATATTGAGTATTCCAAGCTTACCTCGCACATGAGCAAACCTGTTTGTCAATTCCAGAGTAACCGCACGATCTCTGGCATCCTTGAGCTCATCGTTATCAAGATGAGGTACACCATCCAGCTCGTGCAGAATCACACGCAAGGCGTCGTGTCGATCAGAAGACTTGCAGTATATTATTCAACCTCAAAGCATTATTGCTGATTGAATGCACTCACCAGTTTCTCTTGATATTGTGAGAGCAGGACATGCATACCGTACACCTCGTTCGGCGAGATGTAGATAGGCTTTGGTTGTACAGTAGCATCCAAGAACTCATGGGCATGGTAATGACTTTCAGCATCGGGGACATCTGCGACCGCTAGTTATCAAAAGGGGATGAATACCAGACACGATCAACATAATCAAAAAAAAAACTCACTTCGCACTAGCCAACTGGTCATCTGCATGATCAATGTGTGCACGCACTCATTAATGGGCACATAATTAGGCTGATCATCATTGAACTCAGAGCCTGATGCAACCTGCGTCAAAACCTTGGAGATCTGCGCGAGATTCTTCCTGGTTGCAATATCTACTGATGCGACCATATCAAAGTTTTCAGGCGATCTGCAAATCCGGGTGATGAGCGCCTGTTACGAGAGATCGAAGATGAAAACACACAATATGGCGGGGTTCAAGTACCGGTAATATACCAGCCTGCCAATGCAGGCTGCGTACACTTCATCAGGCGCTCCAGGGAACTTTTCCTTCAACTGAAGAAATGTTTCGCGCGCCATGAATCGCACGCTGTAGGGCATCCTGCGAGTCGATTCAAATATGGATGCGGCAAAAGCTTCAGTCCACCACTGAAGTTTCTGGAGATCTGTGAATCTATCACAGTAAGCACCAATACTCCAAGAAGAAATAAACACGTGCGTCTGATATACTCAGCCCTGGTATCGGGATCCTTCAAAGCCTCGTAAAATGGAACATCTTTGGGCTTGGTGCTTGCGATTCCAGATCGCATTTCCTCCACATTTATTCGTGATCGATGGATCTAGACAAGGTGAAACGTCGTCATACAAGAAGCACAAGAGTACCTACCACAGTAGGATCAGGTTCTAGGTCAAGATCGACAGCCTCCAGGAGCTCCCGAATGATCCCCTGCAGCGTTTCACGGATATACGTGACCTGTCGTGGGCGGACGTACTGCACTGCTATGTTAATATACATCGGGTGTCCACGTACGACATCCGAAATCGACGGCGCAGCCAGGATTTCCTGGCGGATCGAAAGCTAAAATAGCTGTATCAATAACCAGACGCCACAAACTGAGTGAGGCGTACCTGGAATAACTTCAAGAAGAGATAATCCTCCCTTCGGTCTTGACCATACCCAAACAACGTAAGCACGACCCGCTCTGTCAACCGCCTGTGCTTCTCCGCTGTCTCGTCAGAAAGCTGAACGAAGAGTCCACCTAGATACTCTGCTCTCGTCTGCAAGAGATAGAATAGCTGCTGGTACAGTTCAAGCTTCTTCTTCGCTGCATGGTCAAGAGTATTCGGTCCGGCAAAGGGGTCTCCATGTGCAGCAAGGATAGACGCCCTAGTAGCGTGAGCAGCAGCACTGTCCGCACCGTATTTTTTCCGCGCCTTGATAAGCTCCTCGAACGACTTCACATTCTGCACGACAAGTGCAATCTTCACGTCGAGATCACTGACATCGCTCTCCAGAGCCTGGTTCTCACGAATACCCTCCACCACGCGCTTCCTCAGCCGCTCCACCTTAATCTCATCCTGGAAGTCCGACTCCGAATCGTCCAACAAATGCACGAAGTTCTTGATCGTTCCGACGGTGACGTTCTTGCCCAGCGTGAGTTGCCTGTACTGCTCCCTGGTCTCCTTTGCCCTAAAGAGCGACTGGATCTTGACAACTTTATCGAGATTCGTGCGATAATACTGAATCTTCGCACGAAATTTCTTTCGCTGAAGCACTCCACGGAACAAAGCCTGCAACATCGACGCCGCAGGCTGACTCCGCCGTAAATGGTCTCGCCACGCATGATAGTCCCTCCTGACGAGGTACCCCCGCGCCACCGCCTGAAACCCGTTCACATCCGGAGCAACAAATTCTAGTTCTTTCTGCTGTTCACGGTGGCGGTTCCGCATGATCGCAGCTCGTGCAAGAGCCTGGAACCCTCCAACACTCGCTACGACCTTCACCTCGCAGAGGGCCTTTGCAACATTACGGTGCTGCTGTCTAGCCAGGCTCGCGCGTGCACGCGCTTGCAGGCCGATAAGCATGGGAGTCGCGCGCCGCAAACCTCGGATGAGCTGAAGAAGACGTTTGCGTGCGAGATAAGTCCGCACGGCTGCCTGTATGCGCACGGCAGTTGCAGACACGTCATCCAGCTTGGCGAGTTGTGTCCGTATGCGTCTCCGCACAAGAACACCGCGACACTGCGCCTGCAGATCCACGATGGTCTCCTCCTCTGCATCCAGTTTTCTGAGCTTACTCGCAAGTGCACGTCGGAGGAGGAAGCCGCGCGCAGCAGCTTGGACATTCACCACAGACAATGCTACCTCCGCACGCGCGAACGTTTTTGCCACTTCGCTGTGGTTCCGCTTCACGATTTTGGCCCGTGCAGTTGATTGCATCTTCACCACGATGGCACGGGCGCTCCTCAGAGCTGCTTTCAGCTTCTCGAATCGCCGACGTACGAGGATGCCACGAATCT